TTCCTCATCTTTGGTTACAGTCACTGTACTCAGGGGAAAGTTTAAACATTCATCATTCAATGTGCCTTTTAATAATGCTTCAGGGAATCCATCTTCTGCATCCAGTACAACATTCGCTCCTTCATGAATGTGAAGCACTGGCCCTGGATGAAGCTCTTCTTCAAGATCAAGCCCTTGCTGAAGAGCGCAGAGTCTGAGAAGGAGATGGCCAACATGAAACAAGAGTTTGAGAAAACCAAGGAAGAGCTTGCAAAGTCTGAGGCAAAGAGGAAGGAGCTGGAGGAGAAAATGGTGGCCCTGCTACAGGAGAAAAATGACCTACAGCTCCAAGTGCAGGCTGTGAGTTTATCATCATTAATGTATCACTCCAGAAAGGAGTCCATACTTTCAGAATGTTTTTTAATGAACCAAAAAATCAGACTAGAGGAGACCGAAAGTCAGATATTTAACGAATTAACCCTCATATGTACACAAAGCTGAGGAAACACATGTCTGGCATGCTATGGTGAGCATTCTGTCAGACACTTTTCTTATGTTACTTGCCTCTCAAATTCATTTGGAAGAAAAATAATTCATTCTGCCAAAAGCCCAACAAAGAGTAAGACGGTGTGGTGAAAAACTGCAACCAGCACATGTCCCTCCAGAAACAATGTGGAAGGATGACACATAAGCACCTGATTTACAAGAGTAAGACCTCTCCTGCAGTCTTAACACTTACAGAGAGAGGCTAATATTTTTTTCAGTTGAATGTGAGATTACCAGAGCCTTTGCACCAAACATAATGGCTTCAGAAGGATTTAGATACAAAACGAAAAATATTGAATACTGTGTTTATGAAGACAAATGTCTCAAAGCTGTTTTCTAAGTACATGACAAATTCTCACACCTGCCACTTCTGTGGTACATTTTTGAAAGGGAGAAAATGTTTAGGAATAAATATTTTTTCCGGCTGAGAGGCTGAACAATGTATGCCAAGAAGGGGGGGAAAAAACCCCCAAAGCAAGATTAAAGTTGCTTGAGGAGAGGCCAACCTCAGACCACATTTTAACAAATGCTTACACAGAAAAGTTCAGAAAACAAACCAAGAAAATCTGTGTCTACCCACCAGGAAGCAGATAGCTTGGCTGATGCTGAGGAGAGATGCGACCAGCTCATCAAAACCAAAATCCAGTTAGAAGCCAAAGTTAAAGAGGTGACTGAAAGGGCTGAGGATGAGGAAGAAATCAATGCTGAGCTGACAGCCAAGAAGAGGAAACTGGAGGATGAATGTTCAGAGCTGAAGAAAGATATTGATGATCTTGAGCTAACACTGGCCAAGGTTGAGAAGGAAAAACATGCTACTGAAAACAAGGTATAAAGCAGAAAAATTTCACTCTAACTCAAGGGAAGAGTTTTGTAATTCTGTACAAAGTTTTAAACAATATTTTAAATCTACACTTAATCCCTTCTCTAAGGTGAAAAACCTCACAGAGGAGATGGCTGCTCTGGATGAGACCATTGTGAAGCTGACAAAAGAGAAGAAAGCCCTCCAAGAGGCCCACCAGCAGACACTGGATGACCTGCAGGCAGAAGAGGACAAAGTCAATACTCTGACCAAAGCTAAGACCAAGCTGGAGCAGCAAGTGGATGATGTAAGCACACAGACACACAGCAAGAACAGGGCAGGTATGGATTTAGAGCTGACTGGGGCAGCACTGAGGGTCTTGTTCTGTTCAGCTGGAAGGGTCCCTGGAGCAAGAGAAGAAACTGCGCATGGACCTTGAGAGAGCCAAGAGGAAACTGGAAGGAGATGTGAAGCTGGCCCATGACAGCATATTGGATTTGGAAAATGATAAGCAGCAGCTGGACGAGAAACTGAAGAAGTAAGTGTGGCTGTGGGGCACCTGAGAGCGCTGGGCTGGTGCCCTTGTCCTTTTCCTTTGAGCTTTAACACAGAATCACAGAACAGAATCTTTTTGCTTGGAAGAAAACTTTCAGATCATTGAATCCAACTACTAGCATAGCACTGACAAGTCACCACTAAATCATGTCTCTTAAGCACCATGTTCAACATGTTTTTTAAATACCTCCAGTGATGGTGAATCCACCATGGCCCTGGCCAGCCTGTTCGAATGCCCAACAACCCTCCCGGCAAAGAACTTATGCCTAACATGCAGCCTGAACTTCCCCTGGCAGAACTTGCAGCCATTTCCTCTAGTCCTATCAC